ACAAATAAAAAGGCATGGGTAACTAGGTGTTTTATTTCGCGGTTGGTTTTACAACTGCTTTGTGCTGGAAGAGGCAGATTACTCAAAAAGAAAACAAATATCAGTTTCACGACTTGGTTACTTATCGTTAACGTACCAGGATACCCAGAAGTTTTAAATTAAAGTTTTTACCATCCAATACGATATCAATCCTACAACCACAAGACCAGAAAATAATTAAATAATTTAAATTAATGTATATGCGGTACACGTTTGAGCACATTGTAGAAAATATGGATTGTAATCAAAGTACTACTAGAGTAAGGGACTTACGGAAAGATTTTTGAATTTTAAATAGCACTTAAATTATTTCGTTACCTCTGAAAGAACTAAAATTTTCGACCCTTAATGCCTTTTAGGGAAAATTATGGCCTGAAGTTGTTATTATAGAGGTTATATTATTAGATATTATATTAACTTCCACAACAGAAGCAAATCGCATAATAATTATTGCTCACACTTTTAAGTGGAGAGGAATTCGTCGACATGTTATTGAATTAATTAATTCTAATAACCAAAACTTAGAAGGTATTTCTCCCGCCTTCTTAGCATGCCTTCGTGGTGTAATGCGAAGCACACTCGGCGCGTATCGAAAGATCCGAGGTTAGAGTCCCCGCGAGGCCATTGTCATTTTTCACGTCTTTTGCCTAAAAATAATATAATGTCTCTACAGTGGAGCGAGGTTCGAATCCGGCGAGGGCATTGTTCATTTTTCAAGTGTCCAGCACCAAAATAACCTAACGTTTCTACAAACTTAGATGAACAAGAACTTATGCAACTGAGAGTCGTTCGAATCAAGCGATGAAAAAAACACATTACGAATATTCTGTGAGCCAGAGCAACACTTTACTTAAGAATCATAAATGAAGGATTAGAATTGCCAGCAAATCTAGAAGAGCATTTAACGAATAATGATGCATCAACAAAACGCTCTGACGAATTTAAGGGAGGAAAAACTGAAAAATTGCTTAGCTGCATATTTCGAAGCATAAGAAGATTTAGAAAGTAACTATAATAAATTGTTAAAATCGGAAAAAATACCCTTTGAAAAAACGAAAATATTAGAGACGAAACAAGTGAATCTTCAAGCTAAGAAATACCACAACCAACATTTAAAAGAGGATAGCACTGGAATCTAAATATGAATAGCTCTGATAGTGAATAATGTCAAAAAGAAAAGTGTGAATGCTACTTTTAGTCATAACTATTGTTCAAAAGGACTGAAAAAACGTTTTTAATTTCAATATTCATTTATTTTTAAGAGAAATGAACAATGTTTTCATTCTCACGTATTAAATATGTAAGATTCTAGCTAAAGTAACGTTGTTTTGGAAGGCTAGATCTTTACTTCAACTGTAAAGCGACTGTTTACTAAGTTCAACTGTGTCAGTAACAAGACGAAGGAAGTGTGAAAGACCTTTTTATTCAACTCAAGAACAATGTCTACAGACGGCACTGCTGGTGTTTACAGGGCCTCGCTAATACTTTTGGTGACAACTCAAAATGGAAAACGTAAAATTTAAAGTAATTGTAAGTTGAATAATCCGCCTATAGAAGCGGCAAAGAAATATTTAAACACCTAGTTGGCTCTTCGCTACCATCGATGTAGACTAACCGACAGTTAATATGCTCGGCCGGAAAATAGCAAGTTTAAGCAACAGAGAAACAACGTGGTCGAAAGGCAGAACACGCTTTCTAGGCACTCTGTCTGAAATAACTCAGATACTAATTTAAATACTCGCTTTCTATCCTACTTTGCATAATGCACGAAACCAAAATCTCATTCTGGCAAGAAAGAGTAGGTTGAAAATGAGAGTCTATAGGAAAGGTTGCTTCCAAAATAAAGTTAACTGTTAATAAAATTAATTAAAACTCCAAAAATATTTATTTTACATCTTTGTTAAGTAGTAGTCTGTATAAGTGTATGTTTATGTGTAAGTAAACTGTATTTGAGCCGCTTATTTACTAAAACTATTAATTGCATAAAAGAAGGAGGTAGAAAATATGTATTGATAAATTTTTATACATTTCTTATGAAAAAAAAAACAGTTAATTGTTCACCGGCCTTAAAAATTACTGTCAATGTCCTAAGCCTGATTATTAAAGAAAATTGTGTTAAATATAACAAGAAAGTTAATCACTTTGAGCTGTGAACGTCCTGTATTTGTATACTGTAAGTGACTCGTAAAACATGGATTCATATAACACGTAACGTATCTACCGTGTTATAGGGGTCTACTGTATTTCATTGCTCACCCCGTATGCCGATGGAGAGAATTCTCTTGCGTGTTGGTTAGGATCTGTACGTAGGCAGCCTCAGCGCCGGGGTATAAAAGCAGTCTTCACATGACTACAACCGTTGTTTTTTCAATGGTTAGTTCAGGCTCGGTAGGGACTGTACTGGAACTATCTTGCCTGCCTTTTGGTTGTGGAGACGCTGCATGGTTGATATTTTCCGTTGTATGAGAGGAAACATCCCCGTCGATCGACTCGGAGAGTTTGCCAGGCCTTGAAGATTGCTTGAGGTGGCCAGCGTGCACCTGGTACCTCGATAAGGTGCTGTACATATTCTTCCTCGCTGTCTTTCCCATGTGAGCGCTTGGATAAAAAAATGACATCGACTTGACAGCCGTTTTGGTGACCTGGTTTGCCTGACTTGTGATTTATACTGTTCTGCTGTTTTTGAGATGACCCCGAGTATCCTCCCACAGAAGAGGATATGAAAAGCGATTTACTGTGCGTACCTCTCAGTATGGCCATTTTATAGCTAGTCGGGTCGACCTATAGTTTAGCGGTCCCTTGGACCGCTTCTGGAGAGGAGTATTAATTGTGAAAGGGGAGAACCTGGATCTGAGCTCCTTCTTTGAATGAATGTATTTCATTGCCAACATAAGTGATTTAATGTCGGGATGCATTACTAAATTTACAGTCTTTTTTAACTTGAAACTTGAAATGTTTTCGCACAGTATTTAGCTTGTTGCTGATAGTTTTTGCTTGTTGTTATGTTGTGTGATTTCGCTTATATAATAAGCTCGAAGAATATTTTTGTTAATGTGATTATCAATCCCCGTAGTTAAAAGTTTTTCCATTTTCCTGAAAAATATCCTTTCTTTTCTGTGAAATAGTACCTTTCATGCTTACTGCATTTATAAATGCTTTTTTTTTAATTCGAGTTTTATATCTTTTATTGCCATTGAAATGGTCGAACACTACAGTTTTTTCTTCGCGACCTCTTTTCCAGACTTTTTTACCATTCTCATAAGCTTCGTTAACTTTTCTTTTAAAATCTAAATTTAAAGGTTTCTTCTTCATTTATGAGATGGAATATTTACCTGTGTTATTTCGTTTATTAGGCATTGCAATGAGATACAAAAACTACAGCAAGACGTATGTAGTTTTCGATTGCCGAGAAAATATTAATACAATAAGGGCTGACAAAAAAGTTAGTAGGTCATACCAATGCATAGAAAATCATTAGAAGTACATAGGTCATAGCAATGTATAGCAAATCATTAGAAGTACATAGGTCATAGCAGCTGCTAATGGGCTATGTTAAACTAATTTTCATCGTCGCAGCTACAAATGCGTTAGCGCTATGTAACCTAAACTGATGTTAATTTATTACAATTTTTTCATTATTTGCTTATTGTGATAAGTAACAGAATATTGTGGAGGCTGGATACAAAATAGCCGCAAAAGCGAATGATGTAATTATTTTATAGCTACAAAGTCCTTTGCTACTTGCCACAATAAGAGCACAATGAAAAATAAACAACATCGGCTAAGGAAGGTCACAAAGTGCATTAACGGACACGAAGCAATTTATGTACATTTATGCTTACAGAAAAATGAAGTTTGAAGATAAAAGCGACGAGTCGCTAAGTTGCGCTCTCGTAAGTTGAGGACTACCTGCATATATGCGAATATTTCAGATTTGATGGGAAATGACAGAATGTCTAATAGGCCATAAAGGAAGTATATAAAACGATCATTTTTAAAATATCTTTTAAAGCAAATCCTTTTTAATGAAAGGACGGGAAAAGTGTTAAAAAATTCATATGTTTTAATAGGGACACACTTCTTAACCCATGGCTTATTTATTCAGTTTCATTTATGAAAGTTTCTTTATAATTAATTTAAATTTCATGTTGAAATTTACATTAGATACTTAGTATTTACTCATACTAAGTATAAAAAATATACATAAATATTACTAAGCATGAAATGCAGAAAAGAATAAGTATACATGAAAACATGATGTGTCATACGAAAGTTTTAAAACCATTTTTAATTCAATATCTAAAGTAATATTAAAACAGCTAACATTTTAAAGGAAAAGGGTTCCTGATCAGACAATATGCACTCAGTAAGCTTACAGAATAAAGAAAGACTTATTGCCTTTCGATGGAAAACAAGTATAGTCTGTCTGTGTGCCTATTCTGAAAATTTTGGATTAGGGCTAGGTTCATCCAAACATACCGTAAAGTTTTAATGCCAATTAAAAACAAATTATGGTTGAATTTTGTTCGATTCTTAAATACGGATATAAATGTGATGTGTTTTAGCAATATTTAGGTCTGATTTGTGATCGAAGATGAAATATTATTTACGTCATCAAATTCGCCATTCTTGTAAAATATTTTTATGTTATCCTTTCGCCAAACAGCCCAGTATCTGCATTTAATACCAGCATAAATACAGTTTGGTTTAAAAATACAGTTCTAAGCCTTATCATATTATACAGATCAGTAGTAAAGATCTCGAAGGATTTTAATTTTTTCTGTGATAAGCAGATGAATAATAATGATATATACTTAAAATGATTTTTATACTTTTTGATCTCGAAATCTGCAATCCATTAAATAAACAGCGAAACTTAACTCCACTCTTTAGGCATCAAATATAAAATATCTTTCTCTGATCATAACTGAGACCATGGCGAAACCATGGCAACAAAGAAGTCTTAAAGCTAGTCAACAAAAGCCGGCAATATTGAAACTTGTTTTACCTTTGAAACTTCATCGATTAGGGTATACTTATTGGGGAATCTGATTTCAAGGATCGGGATTTTAACAAATTTCTTTAAAATATGACATCTTTCCAAAGAATAGTAATTCCGAAAAGCTTCAAAGAATTTCAGGTTCCCTCAGAGAGTATATACAATTTGGCGTCAGGTTCTGTAGAAATTCAAAAACGGCCTCCAAGGTAAGGAAAGTTTCGTATGATAAAATGTATCTTATGTTTATATATATGTGTGTATAGTACTTTATCAGAATTGTACATTTGCATTGGATATTATGTTGTTATTTTGGCTAACGTTAAACTAGTCTTCTAGTGTCTAGTCGACAAGACTTAGGAAATTAGGAATTAAATTTCCTATTGATATGAAATGCAGAAAGACATTAGCTTTTTAAGTTAATGGAATTACATTACGTTATTATTTATCAGATATGATTTAAATAAAATTTATTATGAATTTACATTAATTAGTTAAATTGTACAGTTTTATATTACCGCTAGTAATGTCATGTAATGTAATTTTATTGCTAAGAAGATCATACGGATATTTTTGTATTAACTAGTTTTATGTTAAATTCTAAACTGGAACCGATTATTTGTGATTAATGTAATTCTAATTTATGTTGAACTGTGATATGACGGCTAACCTTCGGTCAAATGTAAGGATTTACCGTCTTTTCGCAAAACGTTTATTTGGCAACAATTATAAATGCGATAATCAGTTAAATATAGTTTCAAGCTTCAATACTGAAAGCAGAAATTTGTCACCAATATTCACTAAGGCTAACTTTTTATATCAAATAAAGATTAAATGATGCGATTTATAGCTTTCGATCCTGAAGTTTAGTTTACACGATGCGGTGAATCTTTACATTATGGTAACTTGGCGATTTTTTGGCGAAACTTTGGCGACCAACCCTGCTACAGCAACCTGCTAGTTTTTTTTTTTTTTTTTTTTTTTTTTTTAACGCCATTTTGTTTTCACAAAAGTAAAAGCATTTCCCCCCCCCTCAACATTTTTCCAACAATCTGCTAGCCGAATTACGCTTATGCTAGAACTTTTATGGAACAAAAGTACTTAATCATCACGAAGATTAAGTGCGAAATTGGGAGAAAGTGTAGAATCGCCCGCTGCTTGCCACGTTTTTAAGAATTGCATATACACGGTATCCAAGTACACGTCGACCTATTTTCACTTAAAAAAAATCCCAGAATTGCTCAAAAATGGCATTGCACACACTCTTGACTTTATTAGCTAAAATCCCCATTGGAATTTTCCGGAAAAATGTAACATTACATGTCTCATTATCTCTCATTTCTCTGAGACAAAATAATCTGTGATTCAAACTGTGTACTTCTTAGATTATTGCTAAAGTCTTAGCTAGTAACCTTTATCGCCTTACCAAAATGTCGCCAAACTACCTGTTACCATATTCTAAAGATTAGTCCACAAGGCTTACATTATTGTTACTTGCCTTTATTATTTCCCAATTGATAAGCTAAATATAAATTTCCAAATTACTTCTTTGTATTCATTTAATAACAGTAACAACCATGTTTCCATTACTCAGTTCAATCAGATTTGAAATAACAGGATAATTAAAATAATTTGAAATTTTTTTTAATTTCGAAAAAGTAAAAATTATTTATTTGTAAAATTTTCTAATATAGTCTTCTGTTTTCAGTAAAATTTTATGGTTGCATGTTACGCTTAAAGACATTACGTTCAAGGGCCTTTACTTTGTCTTAAATTTAAACCTTATGTATTGACAAACTAACAACATAGGATATTTCAAAATTATTTTAGGAATCGCTTGAACAATTGGTAGTAGGCCATCTTTCCAATTTAAGAAATGAATTTTAAAAAGGTAGGCATAGTACACCAAAACTTTTTTTTTTTTTTTTCAAAAGATGCCTTTTAGTGTAAATGTATTAGATTGACATTTTAAATGATATTTTTAAATTAATTAAAAATTGTTTCTTATTCTAAATTCTATTATTATTCCTCATTCTGTTGTTTCTTATTAAAGAAAGCCGGTACTCAGAAAAATTTGATTCTATAATTGTGAAATTGGATTAGGAAACGACTGGTGAAATTCTTGGAAATAATTTAGAGCGAAGTTGCTGGCTTAGATTAATTTTCAAACTATTTAAAGAAAACTTGCGAAGAAACTTATTAAAAGTACCTTTATTTGTGATTAAAAGTTTCATATTGGTTTAGACAGCATTCGCTAATAGCTTACGAGCTTCTCTTCAGCTGGCTTCCAAGCGACAATTATTAATATTTTCCACAAATTTAGCCCGTAAAATATGAAATGTTTTGTTTTTAATTTACTACATTTTAAAATTTTATCGGCGGAACCTTTAGCTCTGTCTAGACAATATAGAAAGTTGCATTTTATATTTGCATAGATTTTATAAATCCTTTTAGATTTTATTAAGGCCTTTTATCTTTTATCTGTCTTACCTTTTTAGCACTCAATTTTTTCCCATACATTTTTTATCTTATTTTAAGAAATTTTGTAATCAAAAGTACATATCTGAAGTTAATATTTAATGAAATAAAATCTGTAACGATATGTTTCGACCAGTTTGCATAACTTGCAGTAGAAAATTCTTCGAAGATGAAAGTTTCATCTCAATACTTAGGAGGAGTCATAAAATATAATTTCCTTTCACTTTATTTCTTAATTTTTTAGGCGATAAGCTTCCGAAAAATACTACATAACGGAATATTTATTTCTTTAATAGATATCACTCAAAATATACTTCTTCTACTAAGAAATTTTATGAATCTGTTAAAAAGCCCCATCAAACAATGGGTAATGCAAAGACTCCTCTTGCAAAACCTAAAGAATATCTTAAGAAGCATAGCAGAGATACAAGCAAGCCAGGTAATTTCAGTTTTCTTTTATTTTAAAAACATACATTTATTACTAAATCCACAGAACCCTGCTCTGTGAATTTCTTTTCAGACTTTTAAATATTGTAAAATTCACAGTTTAAATTGATAGTTAAGAAAATGTGCAAAGTTGAGTTTTGTGCCACAGAACTTGCAGTGATTTCATAAACTTATTGTTTCTTAATTAATTACTGTTTTCTTCCCTTTCAAATAATTTTAGACGTCTTTTGAAATTCATTTACATGTTTGAATGAAAAATTAAAGTTTATTGTATGTGTGAGTTGTTTTCGCTCATTATTTTGGAAGAAAAAATGAATAGTCATAAATTTAATTTATGATGATCTCTAGCAATAAGGAAAAAAAACAGATATAAGTATGGCATATAAACATATATATTATGCATTAAGATGTAAGAAAACAGATATATATTGTATTAAGAACTGAATTCATTGCTTATAAGGTATTTCTTCCGCCTTCTTAGCATACCTTCGTAGTGTAGTGGTCAGCACGCCTGCTTCCAAAAAAATACCTAATGTCTCTACAATATAAAATAAACGAAGCTGATAATTAAAACGAGAGAAGTAAAATTTTGAAGAACTCTTTTAAATGAGTTTTTAAATATAAGAATAATCAAATTTTAAGCACAGATCGATATTATTTTCTTAATTTCTGGATAAAATTTAATTGGTATTTTGTGTGAAACTAATTTGTTTGTAACTGAATGAAGAGACTTTTAAACAATGCATTTCTGCGTTTGAACATGCCTTCTCTCTGAATCGCTTTATAGTACATCGTTATGACAAACATGACCTGGAATTTAATTCAAAGGGGAAAATGTTAGATTTCGATATACTTTTCAAGGTCTCAGTGTACTCTGTGTATGATGACACAAATAATACATCTGTAATAATACTATTTTCCATTATCAATACATATTTAGATTATAGGTGTACTCCAACTGCGCTGATGAAAATTCCCCCCCCTCGTCCTGCTATAGTCCAACTGCGCCGATCAAAATTTCTTTCCCCCGTTGCCTACAGGGTAACAATTTTATTTTTCGAAGCCAACTGTAGCCAAGAGGAAAATAAAAATAAAGAAATATATTTTTTATAAATGAATAGTGGATTTGTTGCCAATCTAGAGAAACTAAGCTTCGGCAACAACAAAGATAACGCCTTCTTTTATTATTATTGCGAATTAAGTCATGCTTAATCCTTTCTGGAATTTATTCCAGGAAATAAGTGTTTAAGATTTACTTCGTAATTTTTAGATGAGAAACACTGAATTGTCTGTGAAAAATCGTTTCTTTTTTGTTTGTTTAATTTCTTTTATACATCGCTTTAGATTTACTTTTGTTAATTGCTCTGTAACACAAAAGAAATTTTCAGAGGATTTGCAGAAGGTTTCGTAATAATCTTCATTGAAGATCTGATGTCAGAGCAACCACGGGATGAACACGCTTTACTGATTACATAACAGAGAACTACCTAGATGAGGATGCAAAATTTCTCCCGATACTTTGGGCTTGCGCTGATATTTCATCGGAAAGAACAACTAATGCATGTGAAGCATTTCATTCAAAATTCAGAGCAAATTTTTATCATTCCCATCCTAATATATTTGTCTTCACAGATGTAATTCGTCAAATTCGGATAGATATATACGCTGAAATAAATGGTGTGAAGCAGCATAAAAAAGCATAAAAAAATAACAAACAGGAATTACGTAAACAGGAAGGAAAGAATCGAGGATTTACAATTACTTAACAAGCGCAGGTATTTTTTGGAATGATTTCACGATTAGAATTCCTAAGACGTGTTTCATGTTACCCAAAAATTGTAAGTTAATTATTGCAATCTATTGTATTCAAACAAATTAATGTGAAATATCATAATAAATGTAATAATTTTAAATTACAAAAGTATTGAGAAAATATTAAAAACAGGTTAGCACGATAAAGAATAAACTTAAAGAAAATGCTAAAGTATGAATAAAATAAATAAATAAGTATAAAATATTAAATCATGAAAACGATTTCTAGAGTAGTAAATTTCTTAGGGGTTGAAATTTAAAAATACAGTAGAAATGAGAAGAGAATTTAGATCTCTTTCATATCATAAGTTTATTAAGCATTATATACCCTACACGGAGCACGCATTTCTTGAAACTGAAATACGGACATAGCGGCACAGAAAATATTTTTTGAAAAGAACTATGTAGTAATGCATAAATGAAAGAAATTAAATAAAAACTATCAAAGAAAATATATAAGAATTATTACATCAAACACTCTCTTGACCGCAAGTGATAGAATTTTGTTTTCTCGTTTATCTTTCAGCAAATCTTATACAATTAAATAATCACTTTCATTCGCGTAAAATTATAAACAAATGCAAATTATTATAGAAAACGCATAAAGTTAAACACTACAGTGTGAAAGGAAAATTCTGGAATAAAAATGTTATAAAAATTAGATGAGAAATAATCCATAATTTATTGATATCCATATAAACTCTATGCTTTCGGAAAAAGTTACACATATTTGCACTGAGGTATCAATCACCGAAACCAAGTTAATTTCTTTCCTTACTTTTTCTTATCAGAGGGATTTGTAAAAAGATACGCTAAGGTGAAAAATTTTGCAATATTTTTAAAGAATAAATTTTAAAAAGTATTTTTACTTCATGAACTGAAATTTTTACTATACATTTTTACACAGTAAATAAGTACAAAAAAAAAAAAAAAAAAAAAAAAAAGAAAAAAAGAAAGAAAGAGCTAGGGGATCACTGGGACTAGAAACTCGGGTCGAACTACCAATGTTTAGTGACTTTTCCGCTTGATCATAAAACCTTTTGAAATTAGGCTGAACAATATATTAAAGAAAATAGAAGATACAGCACACGTAAGAACAAAAGTGGGCTGAATTAGAGATTTACATGTTTAATGAATAAGTTAAACTTACCTGTATGCCATTATGAAATATTAGGAAGTAGCATAAAAGCATGAGTGAAGAAAGCAATGGCAATCTAAATCATTGTAATCTAAATGTATAACATTATCAGTATCTGCTATTAATTTCAATACTGCTGAAAAATTTATAAATGAATTATATTATAAATCGTATGAACTCGTAGGATTATAAATTACAACAGTCAGAAATATTATTAGCGTGATTTAGCGACCATCTTTGTTAGCAAATAATTTCAAGTAACTAATTTTACAAATAATTCAGCCTGAAACTAGGTTAGAAAATAAGCTACATGCTGAAGATTAGGCTTTGCCAAGGTGTCAGAAACATCTTCTGTTAAACATCTTCTGTTATGAAGCAAGAATTTGTAAAAATTATCATTTAAATATAAATTGGCATAAATACAATACAAATTATATAAATTTTACATACACGAAAACTTGAATACAGTGCAACAATATGTGAAAAAGGAATGGATTAAAAGGGAGACTGAAAATCCCAGGATATGAATATAAGGGAGTTTGAATTTTTTTTTTTTTTTTTTTTTTTTTTGTTAATTATAAAAATTTTGCTGACGCTCATAATTATCAATTTATTAATTAAATGTGTATTAGAAATTAAATGTATGCCAAATTACATCAGGTGGAAAACAGAATAAATATTTAAACGTTTCTAGTATTAAAATATGGAATTTGTAACAAAGTTAAATAACCTTAAAATAACTTCAATGATTAAAAATGGAAAGCTTAATACGGGAATATATTGCAATTAGTGTGAATTTAGAACGACTTAAGAAGTCCAATTTTTAGATTTAAAGAAGATAATTTTTATAATTAAATTAGACCTGTTTACCTAAAATGGTAAATTTGAAAGTTAAAACCATTCTGCTATCTAAGAAGATTTGTTAATATTTATCTAGACAAGAAACTTATTTAAGGTGAGCTACAAATCCGATATTTTGATACGTTGATTATGTATCAGCTTTGTGTATGTCATTAATCTATCAATTTTACTATTCAAACCTGATATATACATATATATATATCAGCGACTAAAATCTACAATTTGGAAAGGTTTTTAATTCTTACAGAGAATAAAAATGATCTGGCTCATCATTCCTTTAAGCATCATAAAACTTTAAAATGAGTGTAAACGAAATTTATTTTTACTTTAGTACACGCCAGACTTTAAATTAATATTTGTTTTACATGCACAATTTTTACAATATTGATAAACGAAAATAAAGGCTTGCAGTCTCAATAGAATGCCCCATTAATGGCGATAAACGACTTTTATAGCACCCAATCTTCTTGGAATGAAATGGGGGACAGGAAACGTCGCGCAGTTCGTGGATTAAAAAAGAGGGGGACGGGGATTTTCGATCAAATTTGGCGCAGTTCGTACCCTACCCTTTTCAAGGTCTCAGTGTACTCTGTGTATGATGACACAAATAATACATCTGTAATAATACTATTTTCCATTATCAATACATATTTAGATTTCTGTGGTAAATATCGTTTCGTCAGTTTTTAATGAACATTATTAGAGATACTGTATGCTACTTCTTTTCGCTCTAAATGAATGTCGTCATGAAAAAGTAATTAAATATGAATGCAAGTAAATGTGATAAAAATTTTGGTACTCTTGTGTTATCGGGACTGGATTCAGAAATGTATGCACGTGTGTATGTATATATATGTGTGGGTATGTGTTTGTATATACATACATGCGTACGTATATACATACATGCGTACGTATATATGTACATACACAGACGCATATATCCATACATACGTGCATACATACGTACATTTCTGCCTTTCGTCCTCATAATAGAAAAGTAAAAAAAAAATCAATTTGTTTAGTTGTAAGGATTTTAAGTTTACTAACGTTTATTTTATTTTAAAACTGTACTATCTTTTCTTATTTTCCACTTCCGGCCAGAATTAAATGCTTTAACTTGTTTATGCAAATTGTACTTGCTAACGCCCAAGTATTTAAGTTGTGGCTTTTTGCCAAGAGTTAGAGAGAGAGAGAGAGGACGTGAGCCGCCTTGCCACTGCATTCTTACGAGTTTTAAATCAGTTGCTGCTTGCCTTTAAAGCCAGAGGTTTAGTCCTCTTGATATTTAAATCGTATTGTAGTTTCAGAAGTTAGCTTTTAGTTAGAGTTTTAGTTAGTAGTTTTATATTTTTACGTTCAGACCACAAGTGGTTGGTCTGTGTATTCCGAAGTACGGGAGCACCCGTAAATTAATAGAGAATAAAGGGTTTAGTACACCCTTCCTGCTTGTGTCGTCTATTCCACACATACTTAAAAATAGCTTTAGTAAGCTCCCTCTTCTTATTCAGGATACGTAATATTTCCAAAGCAACTCAAAAGACATACAAGTCCTGACATAATAATTTATTAATTGATTATGTAAAGTTGAGGCTGAATTAACAGCGCACTAATAAAATCATGTCATAAACGAACAAAGGCTTTTCATATATTATTGTTATGTCAAATACTAGTTGCAGGAATACAGTTTATGAGCAATATTTGAATATGACCTTTGTCAGATGATGATCTGCTGCACTACACAATTTTACAACTTGGAGTGAATAAGCATTCATTATTTCTTGAAACATATTGCGAGAAATATCGACAATAGTAGCTATGCTGTCACCAGCGTCACCCTAATTGAAGCGGTTTTTCATTTCCAATATTATGGTGTAAAGTGTGTGAAAAACGGTATCTCATAAGAAAAAGACACCGTTTGTTAAATAGGGGACTACAGACGATGAGATAACTAGAAATTAAACTTTGCGGAAATATCTAAGGCAGAAAATTGAGGCGTACTCCTCCTTGTACGATTTATGTTAATTAAACGGTTATTATGAATTGAAACGTTTACTATAATGTTTTCTCTCCGTGTTTGCATTAGAATGCAAACTAATTGTGCTGTGTATTCAAGCCAAGGGTTTGAATGCTTTAGAGTTTCTTCAAACTCCAGCAGTTAGTTTAAAATATTTAAGACTGGTGAGAAAAATGGATGATTAGTACAAATGCCTTCAAGTCTAAGTTACTGATGTCAGAAGGAAACAATTCAGCAAATAGCACTGAACAAGCTCTACTAATTTGAAGAGATCTGGAGCCTTGTAAATAGGTAAGTTATCTGCGAGTTACCATTAACCGTTGACTCACATGGACTTATCATATTAAGCACGTCATAGGAAAATCCTGTGGTGTCGTCAACCAACTTTCTGTACTCCTCGGAAAGTACTTACTAGACTGTTTCTCAATAAAAAGAGAAGGACTTATGTATTATAAGACCAATTCTATGCTATGCTTCTTCTTGGGCCTTAAGTGCGGGCTTTCACAAATTCCAGAATAAAATTCAGTGAAGAACTGTAAATAATCATTATCTGGTTAGAAATAAACTGATTCACTTGAAATCACTTGAATCACTTGAAAATCGATTACGCAGTCGATCACATGTCTAAATGAGCGTTTCTTCAACACTGTACTTAAGCTGTGATGCTACAAATGTTTTCATGTGTCCTTAATTAAGAAATCATTCCAGAAGATAATTTGGTCAGAGCATTTGCTACCCCATGCTTAGAGACTACAATTTCGTAACTGGTGACTTTTATTTATTTTTTGTGTGGCATGGTTTTATCTCAGTTTGCTTTCCATCTGTTCGATATCCTTGAAACTCTCTCGACCGTTCTCGGAGTTTCATCTGCTAGCTCATCAAATTTATGTGTACTCAGAGGCTTAATTTTATGAAGGCCTCTTCTTGGGCTATGTAAGCAATAATCCGTATCCGTCTGAGAGTCTCTGACAGCTTCACTTGCAATGACATTCTCTCGCCCAGCTCCGCCAAAATTTATTCCGGTTTTAATCATGTTGCTAGCTGACGTTAAAAGCGTGCCATTTATTATTTGAGCCACCTTAAACAGATCATTTTGCATAAATGATAGAATGCCACAAATACATGCCGTAAAAGTACTTTCTACAGAGATTTTAAAGATTGAACTAACAAAATGTTAGCAATGTAACAGTCTACAACATCTCATAATGAACGTTCTGTAATCAAGCGCTCCCTTATAAAGAGCTCCTTTTTCCAACTGCTTTTTTTAATGCGTCCTGATAATATTTAATAATAATATTGCCATTCACAAGAAATACTTGCGAAATATTCCTCTTTTAGAAGCAAAGCAATTTTAATTCATACCATGAAGTTACTTCTTAATTAATATTAGGAACTGATGATTACCTTCCTGCATTCGTCTAATTAAAAACGAAGCTACCAGTTATGTTATTTCTTGTGATAAGAGATTGGGATGTTCAAGAAACCAAATTAATTTATAACTAACAATATTTAATGCATATTCGAGTTTTAAATTGAATTTCAGAGAACAGGCCAGAACGTATTTCACACAACTGTGAGATAAATTAAAGGCAATTTTTCATGAACTTTAAGGTAATGAAAGTGAAATTCTTTATACAGTAAAAATTCGGCAACACGGCAAGCTTGAAACTTCGGTAATGCCAAATTTATCCAACTTACTTATATAATACAGCAGAATAAATTTTCAGCATAATTTAACCTTCTGCATTTTAGTAGTTTCGCATTTGTAGAATTAAGGTAAATAAGCAAATGCACTTAGTAACGCTTCAAGGGTTTGCGTTTTGCTTAAGAGTTTTGAATTTTAGTAGTTTTGCATTGTAGAGTAAATCTACAGATGAGTTTAGTAACTGAAAATGTACTAGAAACATATTATAGCATAGGTAATTTTATCTATGCTATAGTATGTTTCCAGTACATTTTTCTAGTACATTTTGAATCAATATGTATTTTCGAATCTCGTATACTGCTGTTTCTTGAAATCTTCGGAGTTCGAATATTCACCATCATCTTAAAATATTATTGAGGAGAATATAAAGGTTCCTTGCTACCGCATTACTTCGTTATTATTATAATTTGTAAATTTCACAAATGTAATTAATGCCTCAGCTTATCAAATAATATTAGTTATTATAATATCAGTTAATAGTATTAGTTAAAACTCCTTATCCATCTACGACTGATTCATTTTTGGCATCGTCAAGTAACTCACCAAATTCGCCTTCAGAAAATATGACTAAAGAATTCGTTGAAGAAACACTTTGGATTGAGCTCAGTAATTTAAAGAGCCTAATCATTATGAATATCAATACTTTTTTGTTGAAAATAATTTGCTACGTAACATTCAGCTATATGCCGCCCAAATGGTATAGTGGTTAGAGCAGCCGACTGCCATACCAAAATGCCCGGTAGTGGCCAACGTCAGTGGACGTTCGGGCCCATCCATTGGAAAAAAAAAACATTCAGCTATATTGTTTGCTGGCTCTAAAGTAAAGATAAAACGCTTCCTGTTATTTGCGAATGACACGTTCATAGTTTCATCAGACGAAGCTCATATCAAATATACAACTGCCGGCTTATAGGAAGTACGGAACAACTGGATGCCGGATGATTGGACTTTTACTGTACCGCTTTAAGATGTTAAAAATAAATAAAATAGAACTATGTGATTAACAACTAATTAAAAAAAAGAAGACTTGCTCTTTTACAATAAATAAGACTGGAAGATTTGTATGTGTGTGTGTGTGTGATTACGGCAAAGCCTCGAGGGCCATCTGAATAAGGGGAGGGATAGTCTTCGTGGAGGACTTTCTAAGGGGAACTGGCTCGTATACACGTTACACATGGGGAAAACCACGAAAACGCCCATGCAGCCAGCCCGTTCGCGGAATTCGAACCTCGGACCGAACTACCAGTGTTCAGCGACTTTACCGCTCGGCCGCTGGTAGGCCGGAAGATTTATATGAAATGGCAGGACAATAATAAAATTGTTTGATATATTTCATTTATTACGTGTAGTTAAAATACAAAGAAAATAATGGAACTAAAAAAGTTATGTTAAAATGAAACTGAAATGTATTCCACATTTCAGTTTCATTTTAACATAATTTTTTTAGTTCCATTAAACAGATTTAATAGTTCATGGTACTTTCATCAGATACTTTCAAATCCCTTTTCTTGCCACTAAAATGGATAGATAAGATTTGAATAAGGAACACAAATTAAAAGATAGATTTTAAAATAACCTAATCTTATAAATACTAGTTACTCATTTACTAAAAGTAATATTTAAAAAAAATATCGTTGATGTTATTTAAAGAAATTTTAGGCACAGGAATTAGTTTATCGATTTCAATGTATGACAAATGGGATTCTAGATGTCAGGACTTCGATTATGCTAGAATTCTTTCGCAAAAACATACTTGTGAAGCTTACGTTTCTTAATTGCTATCAATATTTGATTAGAGCAATTTGAATTTTGAACTATGTCGGAACAGAGATGAGTTTCCATTATAGATGCAGTATCACATATTTCTATATTTCTTACTTAGCTTTCCCAATTTAGCATTAAATTATCAAAAATGTTTGTTATTATTATTATTTTGATGAAAAAATGTAAAAACGTAAATCACAAAATTGAAATTTGGTCATTTAAATTCTAAGAATCGTTAATAGCAACTGTAGTTGAACATGTGAGATTTATTATATTCTATTAAGTTTAACATAATCATCTATTAGGTGTGATGAACATGAGAATTTGTGATTCCACCATTTTTCTTATCCCTAAATACTGAATTATTTATAGGTAGCATATAAAGTTACTTCCTATTAATCAAATTTTAAACTTTATAATCTTATCATTCATCTTTGATTATTTATTCTAATAATATGAGGCATTCTAAAGTTAATTAAGCTTTTATAATATCAGAAATTAAGCCATTAACTTTGGAAAAGGAACACAAAAAACCTCCAGTTCCCAAATCTGATGACCCTCCGCCTATGATGCACGAGAAAGTACAAAAGAATTTCATTAAAATGAACATTCTGAACGTTATGAGGAAACCTGCGTTAAAACCAGCAAGAAAAATAGTGGATACTAAAAGAGGGGATTGCTTCTTAATAGAACTTTCAGGACTGGTGCCAAAGTACTGCATGAAAAAGGTAATTTTTTCTCATCATTATGATATCATAAATTCATATAAATCTATTTCACATTTTAAGAAATCTGAAAGAACAGTCACATTATATTGTTTAATTTTAAAACTACAAAAATGTCAAAAGTTTTTTGAAGTTGTAGGCAATTAATCATACCTTTCTCTATTTAAAAAGAAATGAAGAACCGTGGTCCATATGCATCTGTGTACATTAAAGAAGAACAGTTTTTAGAGTATAGCAGAAAGTTGTTTCCTCAAATTACATGAAGAATGCTTTAAATGGTTCTAAAATGCAAACTTAAGGCATTTCATTGCTACCTTTTAGTAAATTGAAAAGCTGTTTAGAAATACTAATGGCCCATATTTTTCATGATTACTAAATGAACCAACTTCTCTTAAGACTACAGGGAAAAAAAGGTACACTGCTCAAAAAAAAAAAAAAAAAAAAAAAAAAAATGGGACAGTGTTATATCTCCCGTTCTACTGGGCCGATTGACAAAATTCAAATTGCGTTCTTCATGTCTCGAAAGCACGACTTAGGATATATATTAGATTTATATATAGCACTATTCTAACATAGGTATTTTGACACAAAATTGGACTTTTTCTGAAATAACATACCATTTTTTTTTACATATTTCGATTCTACGACTCAAATTACGCCTAAATATGAAATTTTGTAAAATTTGGAGCGAAATTTACGGAGAAATTCACAAATTTATGCTGGCACTTTTTGTTCAGTTTGCGCCAAGAATAGTTCACTTGGCGAACGTCTTAATATATGGCAACCTTGTTTCCTTTCCCGTGAGAGGAAAAAAAAGTCACCATCATTCTTTTTTCCAAATAATATTCTTTATATATTTCTTATTATAACTTATTATTTTAAAGTAATTTTTTTCTTTTTCGAATTTCATTTTAATTGTTTAAGTTGCATTTTTTCTTCGAATAACTGTTTTGAAAAATTTCTATTTACCTATTCCAACTGCGTCAATAACGGTGCAGCTTTTTTTTTTTTTTCAAATAGTTTTCTTTATATATATTTATTTGTCATAGTTATTATTTTAGGAAATTTTTAAATTTTTATACTTTTATTTTAATTGTTTTGTGTTGCATTGTCTCTTCAGATAATTGTTTTAAATTTTCTATTTATTCCTTCAAACTGAGCATTTTAAATATATTTATTAATATAAATTTTCCAGAATTTGATTTTATTTATTTGAATTGCGTTTCTTTCCGAAGAATATTTTGTAACCCAGACTATGATGCATTATATTAAAAGAGAAATTACAGTAAAGCACAGTTAACACGCCTTTCAATGTTCCGTTCAGAAAAGAAATATATAAATAAGAGAGATGTATAACGGACATTTTAACATAGGATGACTTGCATACACTGCTTTAAACAGTTTAATCATTGTGCCCATTGCTTTACACAGTTTTATCCTACATTTGGTTTCTTAAAATGTTATTCATATTTTAGTAAAATATTTTATTTTTGAAATCGCAAGAATCAAATATCATAAGATTAAAAAGTTTTAAATTAAAAAAAAAAAGTAGAAATATTAAATTTTACGCAAAAATTTATTTTTTCTTTTCTTTTTCTTCAGGCATTCTACTGTATTCTTGCTCTTTTTCTTTAGGCATTCTGCAAGTATATTAAAAAGTATCCAACTTTTCGAAATAATCTTGGTATTTCTGACAATCATTTTAAATAAAGTTATCGCCTTCCATTTCATAAAGGCCCACAAATGGCCGAGCGGTAGAGAATCGTTGAACACTTGAAACTCGGCACTCGGCCGAGGTTCTAAGTTGAACCGGCACTGAACACCGGGGTTCGAATCCCGGTAAACGGGCTGGTTACATGGGCGTTTTCGTGGATTTTCTCATGTATGTACCGTGTATGCTAGCTGGTTTCTCTTAGAAAGTTCATCACGAAGTATTTGGTCAGAGCCTTTATCAGTCTTTAGAGGCTTAAACATTTTGAAGGTATGAGATGAAAGGAAAGTCTGGTTTCATCAAGAGGTTTTGGTTTATTTTTTATGACAGAGCACAATAGGGCTATGCCTAAGGGGAAGGGATGCCTTCGTGGAGGACTTTCTAACCGAAGCTGGCTCGCATACACGTTACATATGGGGAATACCACGAAAACGCCCATGCAGACAGCCCGTTCGCGGGATTCGAACCTCGGACCGAACTACCAGTGTTCAGCGATTTACCGCTCAGCCGCTGTTTCATCAGGAGGGAAAAAAAAAACGTCTTTAGGTGACATCCACATACATCACTGGATAAACTCCTGAATCTTCAAGTAATTCGACTGAGAAAATCATGGGATTCTCCATTTATGATACGTTATGATGTTCTATAACGTAATTTAAATGTATACAACCATATAAACTACAACCAGTCGCTCTTCACTTTAATCTGTAATGATATCGTTTTTTTCTTTTCTGTTAACACAAGCTCAATTGATGGTATTTGGTGGTGGTGGTGTACACGTCCAAGTGTTTTCTCTTTGAACACCTAAACTCTTTGAAGTATCCTAAAGCGTCCAACTTTTTGAAACATCTTGGTATGTCTGACAGCCAAATTTCCCTGCAAATTTTTGCTTACTTTTCTCCCTAATTTTCTTCTTTCCTTCTAGTTATTTTCAGTGCTCAAACAAAAAATTAAGATTTTTCGATTCCTAGACTTCCATAAATTTTGCATTCTTGTCAATTTTTTTAAAATATCAATTACATCAACTGCGTTTCAGCTGATGACAGCTTTTCATTTTCTAGACATTTTAAATATAAACAAAGTATAGAGCAAAGTCCAAAGCATAAATATTTTAATTAAAAGATTTTTGCTAAATGACAAAGAAATAAAACAGTCCAGCAGGGTTTATTCTGTACCACCGAGTGACCCGATTCTTATATCGGCTGAAACAATCTAAATCATATTAAAGATCATGTTTTTTATACAATCTATAACGCGAGAGAAAAATTAGCTTCTTAAAACATTCTTTCTAAGAGGATTAATATAAAATATTATATTTAAATATATATATTTAAATATATATATTTTTAAAGCTGGGACTAGAACCAACTGTCAAACTGTCAGTTTTTTTAATTTAATTTCATACATGGTTATAATTTAAAGTTTATTTACATGGTGGTATAATTAAAGTCCAATTTGAAATGGAAATGGTCATAAACGGAAAACTACTGGACCAAATGTGATCAAACTTGGGAATCGTGTAAAGGAGGTTATGGGAATTTATTTTCCGCGGGGAAAAAAAAAAAAAAAAAAAAAGAGTTCAAAAACTCACCACCAGTGGAAAAATGGCGCTGTATACAATATTGGTAAATGAAATAAGACAGGAAAACATCTGTTTAAAATGTGTTTAATAGTTTCCGAAACGTGTTACAAAGCATGTTCAATGTAGCGTCCAGCATTTTCCGAGAGCAAGTTAAATCCTGGACGCCTATTCTATGATCACTGGATCTGCCTACAACTTAAGCGAACAATATTGACTCAAAGAAACCGGTATGGACAGCCATCAACAACTTATCGGAGAAAGCCATTCTGTGGTCCTCAGTTGGTGGGCGGGTGGGTCCATTTAACTTTACTGAAAGGGGACAAGGCTTCAAGGAGCTTTAGACCAATCGCAGTACAGACGAGTGACGAAATTTATAGCGCGCGCTGGCTGAAGTTCTAGGAATATTCTCCTATTATTTCACTAACTCTCACGCTGCAATTGTAGTTCGAAAAAATTGCACAAAACAGTATTATGACCAAGCACGCAGTGGAATATGCTGCTGTGTTATGTGAAGGAAAATTCCGTTTGTTTTTTAAGGGGGAAAGTTAACGCAGGAATTTAGGAGCTAAGAAATAAAGAGTGATATGGGATACCATGAAAGCAATGGTAAATAGATAAGAGTAAATGAAATTAAGCTTACTTCAAATCTTTTTAGAAATAAACAATTTTAATCATTTAAATTTATAATATGATTAATTTGCATTACAATCTAACAGCAAACTAAGTTTTTTTTTTTTTTTTTTTTTCCATGCTGTTTTTCCCGCAATTTATTTTACAGTTTGGAAAAATATTTCTTTACATAATAAATTAGAAAGAAAATATTTCTTTCTTAATATTTCTTCCTTTTTTTAATTTTCTTTTACTATGAAAATTATTTCTTTCAGGAAAAGAAATAAAATTCATTCGCTATTACAGTATGGCCGATTGCTGCTGCATTCAACTATCACACACGCATCAAATGCTTTATTTTAAATAATTTATTCTATAATTAACATGAAAGAAATATTTTTTTCAATATAAATATATAACCAAAATTAAACTAATCTATCCTGTATGTGTGATTAATTCGTTTTGCAATTTTTGTCACACAATTACTAATACCTTTTTTTTAATATTACATTGCTGTTACTTGAATTTTTTATATATATAAGAACTGCTCAGTTTAAATATTCTTCCTTCTCAAAAGATTTTATTTTGTGAAAATAATTAAAAGATAGTAATATTTTCACAGTGTAAGTACTAAAGTAAAAATAATCAGTGTAGGTCTCTTGCAGTTGAAGTCCTTGTCAAACCAGCGTTTCGACACATTTTAAATAGAAAACTAATAATAATCAATATCTCTTTTACAATATAAAAATGAGAATGCTATGAACAGTATTTTTTGTTTTGTTTGTTAAATTTGCAAAGAAACAATGATTTTTTAATACTATAATAGATTACAAAAGTACTATCCCATGAACAAACCCTCAGCCTTATAGCATTGTTATTTTATAGCATAATACAATAATAATGCAGTATAATTCTACTAACAAGCCCACCAGCTGCCGAGCGGTAGAGTCGCTGAAAGCAGGTAGTTTGGTCCGAGGTTTGAATCCCGGGAACGAGCTAGCCGGCGTTTTCGTGGCTTTTCACATGTGTAACTTGTATACGAGCCAGTTTCTCTTAGAAAGTCCTCACTTAGAAACCAGTTTTAAAACGTAATAAAATTAC